AAGAGTTGGTGAGGTTTATAATATCTGTAAGCAAAAGTCCCACTACACCAGCAGCATTGCTGCTTTCACTTTGCTCTTCAAGGAGAAGGGCCTACTGACCGCAGCATAAGTGGGATCACTCTATCAGAAGCTGAAATCACAAGTATACAAATAAACATATAATTAACATATCAGGGAGAAATCTGGCTTCTTTTTAAATACTTGGCTTTGGAATATCTACTTTATTGGGCTTTTACTTTCAAGATGGCTGGAAGCCTACAGAACTTGCATTCCAAACAAGTGATGATCCCAAAACAAATGATGCTGAAGGCAGAGAAGCAATTTGAGGGAAAATTTAGGGAGCATTTGTGCTACATTTTTGATCTGCACTTTTGAGTTTGGGTTAAAATCCCTCAACAGAAAAATAGACATTAAGTGCATGTCAGTTTCCGGATTGCACTTTGCAATGCATCTGCACCACAAAGATAGTGAAATCCTCTATATAAGATTCAACCTTCCCCTTTCGTCCAAGCCTTTGGTCATTTGAAAATGTTCACAGTTCAAGATCTCATTTACATTACGTCAAATCATACTTCAACGAATGTGATGCCTTCCTATTTCTAGAACAGACGAACAGCATGTTAAACACACAAGTTTAACAACAGTGTGCAACTAAGTTTTAAACTCAACATATATAAATAGCAAGAGATTCAGGCTGGCTATGAGAAGACCCTTTTTTCATTAAAATACATTTTTAAAAGAACAATATTTTTCAGGATTGGAAGTGCAGAAGTGGTCTGGGAGTGGGTGGTTTGCAGTCTTCAGAACATCTGGATGTTTCCCACGTGTGGATCAGGAGAAGCGAGCGGGAAGCCACGGAACCCATTATGTCCACTTCAAAAGGAAGTGGCCTTGTGGGCCGGTGGAACTCATGGGCACAGGATACTAAGAAAGCAGCAGTAGCATCCCCTACCAAGTACACTTGGAAGAAGGGGAGCTAGAGAAATTCCTTATGAGGAGGGAGCCTGTGATTTCTGCTAGATTATTGTGGCATCTTTGTCAACCGCTCTTGATTGAGACTGATCAAGCCGAAACACTACCCTGACAAGTTGGAGTAGTGGCCAATCATAGAAAATCTGGTTCGGAGATTTGGATTAAATTTATTTCTATTTCTTGAATCTGCACCATCTCCGAGTTCTCAGAAGGCAGAGGTGGGAGGGAGTGCTTTTGTGTAGCTTCATTTAGTGCATTGACTTTGACCTTTGCTAAGTCCACTGGATTTCTAAATCATTGATGCCATAGTTGTAATCTCCCTTGACTACTGCAGTATTTTCTACGTGGGGCTGACCTTGAAGTGTGTCTTGGAGTTTCAGTTGATACAGAATGTGATCGCTTATCTGCTAACTGAGCATGATGTCAGTGTTTCTGTGCTGAGCTTTGGAAAGGCTTGTTGGAGGACAAAATCTTGGGTGATAGCAGCCATTCTGATGCAACCAGGAAGCCATTTTGGAGTTGGGCAAAATCCCACTTGGGTTTGTCTTATCTGTGGAAGGGCATAGAATTAGAAGGGGGCAGATCTTGTGGTTGGAGGTCTTCGGGTCTTTACCAGTCAGTGGGGGCTCAGTTGCAAAACCAGGGGGAGACCCCGTGGGGAGTGTGGGGACCCCGAAAGAGTCTTTCCTCCAAAGACGAGCCGCTCTGGAAAAGCCGAGTTCTGAAACCCTGTCAGTTCGTGCAGTCAAGCCATTGCGTCGTCACTGAGGATTGGGTGAGATGCCTCCTCACCTGTCTGATCCATTGATTCAAATGGGTCTCCTCTAGTTGTGAGTTCCCTCACTGGAATGTCTGATGGGAACAAGGTGTTTGGAAACAATTCAGTAAAACAACTTAGCAGAGTTAAATGTATTTGCCTGCCACAGAGACTGGCAAAACATTAGGAGGAACAACCTTCAGAACACGGCCAAAGAACCCTAAAAACCCACAACAACCATTAGCAGACTGTCTGCTTCAATGCAATTCAGCCGGAGAGCTCTCTGTTCTCCAGAACCTCTCCCCCCCCCCAGTTTCCCTCTTTCTGCCCCATTTCTTCTCCTTCAATTTGAAGGGGGGGGGTGAATCCTGGCTGTCCTTCTTGGGATTGATAGGGGAGCCCAGTGGATGTGGAGGCAGGATCCTTGGGGGGAGGGAATCTGGTGGGTGGGGAGAGAGGGGGTCCATTTGGTCCTGGAGGGGGGAAGTGAAGGAGAAGGTGGAGGGGATTTGTAGTCTATGCATCTTAATTCAGAAAAACCATGTTTCTGGTTGATCCAAGTCAGTTGATGAGACATAACATGGCTGTGTTGCCTCTTTGGGGCTCCTCGGAGGGGCTCCGTCCTGTGGTGCCAGACGCTTCCAAGAACAAGCGTGGTTCTTCCTTTTGTAGAAAAATACCCCATTTAGGCCCTTTTTGGGGGGCGCAAGAGGAGGTGGAAGGGGAGGTGGAAGGGGTGGTGTGGGGCAGTGGGAGAGGGGCTCCTTGCCTCCCCTGAGCCCCACCCACCCACCTCTGTGGGTCAGGTTTTGACTCCCTGCTGTTGGCTGTCTGGAGGGGGACTGGGCCAAGATGGTGGGGAAGAAGGGCCTTTCCTATATGCCCAGGATAGACGGGGGGGTGCTCCCTAGGTGGCAGGGAGGGAGGGAGGACCCCAAGGGACAGCCCTGCCAGGGTGGGGAACCATGGGCAGGGGGCTCATGGCTTGGGGGAATGGGGAAGTTAACCCCCCCTGATTTAGGGGTCTGCTTTGGGCAGAGCGAGGGGTGAGTCCAAAAAGGAAGTAGGGGAGGAGGTGGGAGCTGGCTGTGGGGAAATGGGGGGCACAGCAAGCCCCCCTTTGCCCTTCCAGACCATGGGGGAGGAGGCGCCTGGGGGTGGAGAGGTGGGGTGGGGCCTCCGTGGGGAATCTAGGCCTTTGTTGAGGGCGAATTTCTTGCTGAATCCCCTTCTGGGTGGGTGGCTGTGGGGAGGGGACCCAAGGGGGTCTTTCATGGGGAAGGTGTGGGGCTTCGTCCCCATCCAGGCAGCCGAGAGAACTTCCTCAGGGATCGTGTTGGGATGTTGCCTGACTCTTGGGCCGGAGGCCATTTATGAGGCGAAAGGCAGAGCAGACAAAGCGATGAAGGAAAGAGGAAGGAGGGCCCTCTGGGGGGGGTTCTTTCCTCCCCTGGAAACTCTCCCCCCAACTCCCCCCCAAGTGCTGAGATGGTCTCTGAGGGGACTGGCCCTGCTGGAGGGAAATTTACATTTATTAGGGAAGGTTGTCCCTTTCTCACCGCCTTGGAGGGGATTTACATTTGTAGGGGAGGGTTGTGGGAGGAAGTCCCCCTTTCTCACCCCTCCCCGTCTGCGACTCTCTGACTCTCTCCCTCCCTCTCTCTCTCTCCCTCTCTCTCACTCTCTCTCTCTCTCTCTCTCACTCACACACACACACACACACACACGGGTCTGTTTTCAGGGTTTCACTCCCTGCAGTGGATGTACGGCTGTGAGCTGAGGGAGGACGGGAGCAAAGGATGGTATCAACAGGAGGCCTACGATGGGAGGGACTACATCGCCCTCGACAAGGAGACCCTCACCTGGACGGCACTTGATCCCACGGCCCAGATCACCAAAGAGAAGTGGGAGAAGAATCCCGCCTACGCCCAGAGAAAAAAGGAGTACCTGGAGGAGATTTGCATCAAGTGGCTGCAGAGACACCTGGAGTACGGGAAGGAGAGTCTGCTCAGGAGAGGTGAGGGAATGTTTGGGGGGGGGGAGGCAGGGAAAATTTGGGTGTGTGTGAGAGAGTGCGGGTCCTTGGGAAGGGTGGACATCCATTCCCTGCAACAGATGGGGGAGACACCCCCCAATTAGTTCCTGGTGAGACCCCTCTCATTATTCAGAAAAGGCCATGGGTGCTATAGACCAAACCGCCTTTAAACCATCACACTTGTGTGTGTATTGGTGTCTATGTGTGCACGCTTGTATGTGTGTGTTTTGTGTGTGTGTCTGAGATACACTTTTGGCTACATTCCCAGATTTCCAACTTGAAAATCTTCAGAAGTCAAAACCTGACAGACATGACTTGACGGGGGGGGTGATAGCTCGGCTCCCTCCTCATCCCAGGGTGTGTGTTTTGTTGTTGTTGTTTTTGTTGCTGTCTGACACTTATTGCTTCTTTATTTTCCTTGGGACCAAGAATCAAGCTTTTTGGGAGGGGGGAGTGTAAGGCTTTGGGAGGGGCAGCCGTTCCTTCCCTTCGACAGACGTGGGGAGACCCCCCCAATTAGTTCCTGGGGAGACCCCTTCCCATTCAGGAAAGGCCGTGGGAGGCTAGGACCAAACCAACTTCGGGCACGTGTGTGTCTGTGACTCTGTTTGTTTGTGTGAGTTGCAGTTTTGGCTACATTCCCAGATTTCTGACGTGAAAATCTATGAAAGTAAAACCAAACAGATTTCGCTTGAGACCGTGTGTGTGTGTGTGTGTGTGTGTGTGTGTGTGTGTGTGTGTCCCTCCTCTGCCCACAGTATGTGTTCTGTTGTTGTTGTGTGACACATTTACTTGCCTATTTATTTTCATTGGGACCAACACTCCAGCGTTTTCTGCCCCTCCCTTCCCCCCGGCACAACCTGCCCTCCCCTCCTGCCTTCTTCCCAAGGAGGTGGCTTTGGGGGGGGCGGAGGGGGTTGGACCTGATCCTCCCCGTGACAGACAAAAAAACCTTCCCTGCCTTCTCCACTCAGTCCTTGATTTCTCTTTTGGTCTGAGGAAAGCCTGGCCTCCTTCCTCCCTCTTCCTCCCTTCACCTCCCTTGGGATTTCATTCCCACCCCACCAAAAAAGCCCCCCCAATCCTTTCTGGTTGCCCAGGGGTGCCCCTGGTCCTTCCTCCTTCTTAGCTCCCAGCACTTGAGAGAGGATGATGGCAGATGTTTCTGGGGTTGAGAAGGGCAAAGGTGGGGCCGCCCTGAGTTTCCCAGGGAAAGAAAGAGGGGACCCCCCCCTGATTCCCTGGAGGTTCTTCTTCCCTTTTGGATCTGGGGCTGGGCTGGATGGTTTAATGGGAAAGGTTTAAGTAACATTGCTTCAGTCCACGGAGATGTGTGGTCTGCCTTTTAATTATTATTTTATTTGTTTTATATATAGGCTGCTTTTCTCCTGATAAGGGGACCTAAGGCAGCTCACAAAATTAAAAGAATAGAATTAACAACATTAAACATTAAAATACAATTAAACTGTATACTGATTAAAACACAATGATATTAGGACCCCAGTATCCACTGGATCAATATCCGCGGATTCAGTTATCCATGATCTGAAAATACTGTCCTGTATTAAAAATATTAGAAGAAAGAAAAAAGCCTCATGTTTTATCAGGACTGGCCACTAGACAGCAACCATTTAACAAAAAAAGAAAGAAAAAAGAAAAGGAAAAGAAAAGAAAAGGGTGGAACCCATATTTTTAGGCTAAGCTACATGATCATCACATACAATCATAACTGTTTCTTTTGTTTTCTCTATCTGAATGTTTGTCCCTGACTATACATTTGTTTCACATCAACATTAGGTAGACCATGAATAACACTTTTTCTAAGTATCATAAAAATAAATAGAAATATTCAGTTCATAAAATATCAGCAATATTACTGTAGAAATCGTTGAAAAAAGGGTATCTTACATTGAAAACAATGTAGAGTGCCTTTACATTTAAAGAAAAAAAGAAATGAAGCAAATATGAAAATAATGGGTGATGACAACTTGTATGTTGTTGCCTTGCCATTGCTGCTATTCATCACATCTCCAATGAGTTCTTCCAGCCTTCTCTGGTTTATCGTAGGAACATACAGATCAACCCATTTCTACATTTGCTTACAGAAGGAACTCTTTGCCCTGTAACAAACAATTATGTCCAATTTGTTCACACAATTGTTCCA